AGCCTTGAAACGAGTGGATTAACGAAGCCAAAGTGAAGTATTCCTATGTTTGTTCGGATCATTTTATTTTAGGTACAGTACCTACCTATTAGATTTACAGTTTCTAACAAATTACTACATTGGTGCTCTTTTAGGTAAACCTGCAGATTTGTCGGATGTGGACCATCCTGATTATGTTCCATCACAAAATTTAGGATATCAAAATAAATCCACTCATAATACTTGTAATGTTGAAAGACACAGTTGTCTAAAAAAGAGAAAACTGAATAAATGTCTCTTTTGAAGACACGAGTTTTATTGTGGGTTATTTTACTTACTCTAAAAATAAAAAAGTTTAGAATGGTATTCATTGTTATGGTAGGGACATCGTCTAAACACAAACTAGAATCACTTGCACTCATTGTATGTATAAGGATTTAAGCCGTTTAAATTGTTTAACTTTTGTACATATCTGTTTTTGTCTTCGACGGAACGACATCGTGCATAATCTCTTAAATTATCCATACTTTAAAAACAAATCACACACCTTCACTTAAACCCGTCACAGTAACCTCAAACGAAAATATTAATTTCCGATTTACCGCTTAAAACACACGGATGTATTTTGGATGACGAGGAATTCAGACCAAAACAGTGTTGTGTATTTTTATTTTTATTATGTATTTCTAAACTCAAATCGCCAAAAAAAGCACCCTCATGCACAGAAAAGATACGAAAGAAGCTATTCACATGTTTATTTTCTAAATAAATACCCACACTTTTAAATAAAATGCGAAAATGTTAACATTGTCGCTTATGGAGTTTCACGGCGCTTTTCAAACGTTGAGTTCCCGCCACAACATGACGTCACGTGTTATTGGCTAATTGACCCTTTTCCTGTAAGCAAAGTGAGTAGACATTATATAAATTCCAATGATACAGAGTGAGACAACATCGCGCAGGCGAAGTCAGATTTTTGGAGCGCCAAATTAAAATTAACCAATGAGCGACAGATTACGCATGTGTTTCCGGTTGCATTCTGTCAAAACGGTTTGTTGTCACAGGCCTCTGCTCTGCTGCCGGAGTGCCGGATACTATTTCCAAAGTGGTTTTGAAGATGCGTGCGCACGAAAAGTCACTATGGAAGTTTTACGATCTTACAGGAAAAGGGTTAATAATCATTAACATTATTTACAACTTTAACCTATTTTATATGCGCCGGCCGGCCGTGCGGGTCTTCCAGCAGCGTCTACCCAAATAAATTTTATAAAGTTTGTCTAGAATTATAAGAATTTTATGGGCTCCCAAAGTTAATTCGTTTTATAGCCCTGTCGTCAATTTTATTGTACAGTTGAAGAGTTTGCTTGTAGAACTACCTGTCAAGGGAAACCACCCGATGTTTGCTACGCGGTCAGTCAGGTAGCAGCTTGAGGGATACAGACAATAAACAATAGCAAACAACTTAATTGAAGCTATGAGCGGCAAAACGGGCTAACCCATTTAAGAACGAATGCCAAAAAATGGGATACATATTGCAACATATTTCAAATATAAAAAGACTGTGTTGGCTTAAGAAAGATACCAAAATATTGAAAAAAATTGCTTCTTTTTGGTTTTTGTTGTGGATTAGTCCACTTTGCTATTGATGTATATTGTGTTTAGCTCAAAATTTAATGAAACCAATATAAGAAAACATAATTTATTAATGCAAAATAGTTATTAAAACACAATTTTTTTTCTTTTATTCAAAAATAAAAAAGCGCCATAAACCTTGAGAAGAATATTCATCTCAATTTTCTTCATTTTCTGACTCCACACCTAAATCTCCCCCAGTTCCCTGAGCAGAAGCTCGAAGGTTTTCATAAAAGTCGTGAAAAACAGGAGGAATGAATTTTATTAGCAAGAGATCTTTTTTTTTTATCGTTGATTAGGTTTCCATTTCGGTAAAGCAATTGCAGTTCTGGTTTCCCTATTGTTGCTTTTCTTTTACCAATATCAACAATTTCAAATGGTACGTCATTCTGATTTGAATGTTTGAACTGAATATTATTAGGACATTGCTTTTGAAATCGTAACCACTGGATGTTTAACCACAACACTTTGATTTTTGATTCTGCAATTTTTCTGTTTGTAATGTTATTTTCAAGAGCTTTGGTAGAAAAAAAATTGGCACTCGTCATTTCAATTACTTTAAGCGGATCCTTCTTCCTGGCTCAATATGGCTTGGTCCGTTTTGCTTCCGTGCTGATCACAAAATCTTAAAATGGCAAAACAGTATTTGTGCGGCAGTGCGGCCACCTACTGTTAGAGGAAGAAGATGGCTTAGTCCATTTTATCATAAAATAAATTAAAAAATTGCGATTTGTACAGTGACAACGTCCCTGTTGCATAGAATAAACTTTTACGATGGTTTAAGCCAGTTAACTTCACAGTGGTTCATGCTCATCATAAATTTTAAAAGTGGAAGACCAGTAACCGGAGCGGTGCTTAGCTACCCTTCTTCTGGTTGAACAGTAGCGGCGCATGCCAAGGCGGTGGGACACTCAGTGAGTGAACAGCTTACCCAGCCCCTTGTAATGATATTGTAAAATTTTATTGTATACAACAGAAACGTTTCTATTTACTGTACCTGCCTGCCTGACTGCCCGGCGCGTGGCGAACTTGGGTGCAGTTAACATCGGCTTTCCCCAGACAGGTTCTTTATCTGTACAATAAAATCGACGAAAGGGCTTTGGGAGTCCATAAAATTTTTATAATTCTAGACAAACTTGGGTGAGGGTTAGTTAGGAAATCCTATTGTATGTTTATAGACACTAATTAGAAAGTCAGAGCCATAAAAACAAATATCGTCAGACAACCTATATATGTGTATTGAAAATCTTCAAAATGCAGGAACAAAATATTTGATTGATCACAAACTTGACATTTACAACGTGAGATAGAAAAGCGCATGAAAAATCGCACTAAAAAAAGTAACATTATTATTATTATTATTATTACCCAGTAAACACAATTACGTCGTAGCGATATTAATGCCACTTAACTCTGTCTACGATCTTGTTAGCCACAGAACAGTCAATATAGAAGAAGCGCAGGCTCCATGTATTTCATTGGCAGCAGCAGTGACATTTCTCGACGGTCATGTTGCGATGTAAAAGTGTGGGAAATTCAAATAAATGCATGCTACGTGTATTGCCAGTTGCATACTCCAGCATCGTGTCATACGGATTGCCTACCACTACTTATTTGTTTTATTAATGGAAAGAAATAAAATTCATAAAATTTTACAAACGAAGTATATTAAACATTAAAAGACTAATGTACAATTCAAAAATTAACAATAAAATAAAAAAACAATTCTGTTATAAACAAAAAATTAACAAAAACACAAACCTTCCACCATAGTACTTCTAGACGTCAAATGGGAGTACCAGATCCATTCAAGGGTTTCCATTTCCTCCAGGTTATTTTAAAGTAAAAGGTACTCACATTGAGTTCATTCCAAATACTTCGAAGTACGAAGTGATGTTTTGCAATGGTGTTGCCCCTGTTTCAAGCGCAAGCCTCAGTCCTGAAACATGGTTGTTATCAAACAATCAGCACATAATTATATTTTTATTACCTTTCACATAAATTCCACGGTCACTTGCGAGAATTAAAGCCGTGAAACACATTTTATTCCAAAACATCACACTGCATCGCACAACATTGACATATGTCAGTAAAAGACCGGGAAAAATCTGGAGCCCACAGCCACAGGCTGCATCTGCGCAGTGTGCTACTAGCCGCCCCTTGCCCCTCAAAATGCGATGCCGGCGTCCACAAGCTAAATGTCATTCATGTTGCCTATTCGGCAATACAACCTTCACCCCCGTGTTGTTAGCTGTTAGAGCAGCTTTCAAGACAAAACGGTACAGGTGGTGGGAGTGCGCAGAACATTGTTTTGGTTTGGCCTTACAAATATCGTGCAAGCAGTGGCAGCGGCGATGAATATTTCGATTTTAAATATTAAAATATTATTGGGGTTAATAAAAATATCACTTTTCTATTTTATTAGCGTTGACATTATAGAAAAAGAATTTAAACAATTATTAGTGCTATATTTGATGTATGAGTTGAATAAAAAAGTAAGTAAAAGAAGTAAAAAGGTAATTTTTAGTGAGCAATAAGAACTGTTAAATTAGGGTACAGTCGAAGCTCTAGTTATAAACGACAATTATGCTAGAATATGAACTGTGATTATTACTTCGATGTTAAAGACAGAAAACGTTAAGCCTTATTATAATCCGACTTTACGGTATCGATAAATTGTGCCAGAAAATAAAAAAACATATAATTATAGTCATAGGTTGCTTATTCTCAGAGTTTTAAGCCAACTTTTATCTAAAGATTTAACTGTTGATTTAAGACTAGTCGACTATAAAATAGTATATGATACTGGTTTATAATGAGGGGTTCGTGAAATTTTTTACTCATGCTATAATCCCTCACATTATAAACTCGTTTAATAATTAAAAATACCAAATTTTGTGTGATAGATTATCATAATTTATTGTTACGTAAGTCTATTTTTTTAACAAACAAATTAATTTATTTTTATTAAATGGTTGTCTGTATTCTTTTGTAGAAATTGCTCTTTTTTTAATTGTTTTTGAAAGAAGTACAACTCAGCCGAGCCTCCCTTCTCAATGCATCGATGTTACGCCACTGATGGCCCGGCTACAAGTCGCGCAACTTAAGCCCCGCCCCTGTACCCTTTCGTGCTGAAAGCCGCTCTACATCCCAAACTGCGTACATTTGCTTTCCCTGTGCTATGTAATGTAATCAACAGTGACCCATGCTTGTAACATACTGGTGACATCCACATTGTTTCAGACTAGAGACGTGCTCGCTGGTACATCATCATAACGTTGTGTTAGGGGTCAATTCCAAGTTAGATTTGCACCCGGCGCAAGTGGGGTCGCCATGGTGACGGCGCAATTCAGTTTGCGCCTAATTCAAAGTCAAATTCCGCGGTCAAATTGCACTCGTATTTTGCGCCACTCGATGGCGGTGGTGCATCTCAAATTTGTACCGGCGCAACCGTATGTCATCTTATGTGTGGGACATGGCGGCCGGTGCAAGACAAGGTTTAGCGGCTTTAGCTCTCGATTTGTTCGAAAATGATACTGAAAGTGATAGTGAGGATGGTGAAGAACGTGTACCGAGGAACGCCTTTCATATTCGGCAAATTTCCGAGAGGATTCTGTTTCAGCATACTAGGTTGAACAGAATTGTATTTGAGTATGTTTTAGGTTTAATTTCACCGGCTTTGACAAAAAACACGCGAAGTGGACGATACAAACATCTAACACCCATGCAAAAATTGTATGTGGCCCTTCAATTTTATGCCACAGGTTCATATCAATGGCTAGTAGCAAGCAGTGGCAATGTTTCACAACCCTCAGCATGTCGTATCATTGGAGAAGTTACTGAGGCTATTGTGGCTCTTGCGCCACAGTTTATACGTTTTCCCAACGCTGAAGACTACCTGGCAGTGAAACAAGCCTTCTACCAAATAGGACAGACCAAACACAGACGTGGATTTCCAAACGTTTTGGGTGCAATTGACTGTACTCACGTACGCATTCAAGCTCCAACAACTGCCCCAGAACAATACCTGAATCGTCATATTTACCACTCAATTATTGTACAACTTGTTGTCGGACCTGATTTAAAAATTTTTAACAGTGTTGCAGAATTTCCAGGTTCTAATCATGATTCGTATGTGTGGAGAAATTCAGCTGTTCGAGAAGCCTTAGCTGAAGGTAATTTTCCAGAAGGTTGGCTCATTGGGGATTCTGGATATCCACAGGAACCTTGGCTCATGACTCCTGTTGGCCATGTTAACACACCGCCTGAATTGTTATATAATTCTGTGCACATTTCCACTCGAAATCCAGTGGAAAGGACAAATGGAGTTCTAAAAAGTAGGTGGCGTGTTTTAGATTGTCCACTTAAATATTCTCCAGGGAAAGTGTGTCACATAACTACTGCATGTTGTGTTCTCCACAATATTTGCACTGAACATAACCTGGATGTAGAAGATTTACAAGAACATCCTCTGAATGATGAATTCCCATGTCAAGAGCCTCAAAATCTCCATTATGACCAAATTAAAAGACAACTGATTGCACAACATTTTACCTGATTTTGACATGTATCCTTTTTTATTTAACATTTGTGCTCATCTGCAATTGTAGGTTAAAATTTTGTATGTTGGTGACTTCTACAGCCCTTTTTTTCAAAATTTATTAATTTGTATCCTTTGCAAACACAAATTTTACTTCTAACTCTCATATTTTCAAATAACACCCCTTCCTTAACCTGGTGGGATTTTGTCAGCCTTTACAGGGTCCCACTAGATATTTCCACAATTGCTTGTTCCACACTGTTAAATTTAATACTTGCTTTTTTTTGCTAGTTCTATTAATAGCACGTTTTGGATTCATTTTATTCTGCAAGGATTAATTTCAAAATTTCCATTGTGGAAAGTAACCGAACTGACAAAAAAATTACAACTTAATTTTTAAACTAAATAAATAGAGATGTACCGACTGTAGGTCTGGCCGACTAACTGACTAGCCGATTGTTCGGCCAGTAAAAACCGACTAGTCGGCCGACTGTTCGGCTTTGCTAAAACCGGTTTATAAATGCGACAGGCAGTGTGTTTTTTTTTTTCTATTTCTCTGACTACCTTAAAAATTTGTTTTATTTTATAAAAGGAATAACTAAAGTTCCTTTGTTTTCCAAAAAATGTGTTAAATTTATTTGGATAATTTTAACATTTAATTTTTTTTTAGTAACTCAGTACAAAAATAAAGAATAACACAATTTAGGGCCAGTTTATACAATATTTTAACTAAGATTAAGTTGATCGCGCATTTAACAAGGCCATTAGCAACGTCTCATTGGCGTAGAGTCGGTCACATGGTACTTTAACGCGGGGTTAAAAATTAAATCGCAATTAAATATTTAATTGAGGTTCTGTGAACCGGGTTTAATTGTTTTATATACTATTTTAATTTTAGTAAAAAAAGCCGACCGGTCAGCCACTAGTCGGTACATCCCTATAAATAAATAATTCAATAAATGATCAAAGTAACAAGTATATGATGTTTATTTAATGTGAATAATAACTAAATAAATAAATAATGAACAATCAAAAATTACTATAATTAGATAAAATATTTAATGTGAGGTTTTGGCTTTTTTTATTTTGAGGTTTTCCTCTAAAATTTCTACCTCTCTTTTTTTTAGAGCTACCAACTCTCTTATTCCTTCGGTTACCTGACTACTGAAGCTCTTGAATTCCGTAAGGATATCAGAGAGTAAAACATTCTGCTGTGTTTGCAGAGTGGTAGTTCTTTTAATTTCATCCAAAACCTGTGTTTTAGATTTTTTCTTTGGGACAGTTGGAGGTATCACAGGTGGTGCAGTGAGGGGTGCTGGCAGGATTGGCGAAACTGAAACTCTGGGAGGAGAGGAAGTAGGGCTAGGTCCAGTGGAACACATGTTATACTCTGTAAAAGGTGGAAATAATAAACTATTAATATATTTGCAAAGTAATTATGGTTATTTAAAAATGATATGTGTATATTATTACTGTATCGATGTTGAAACTATCTTGTTGTCTATTTATAAATAAAACTATTTTATAAACCTATACATACCTTCAGTGGGGCTTAATGAAATTTCAAGGTATGGTGGAGGGATCAGGAGAGGAGTTGGTTCGTTAACAACTAAAAAAAAGTACAAATAATGCAAGCAATTCAGTAAAAATAGATCTTTATTAACGTTTGTGTTAATAAATATACCTGTAAATGTTTTATTGAAGCATTTTTTTTACGTTTCAGTTGATAATAAATTAAGTAAAAGCATTTACATAATAATATCAAATATACTTACCCCTTTTTTGGAATGTATCAATTCCTCCAGCGATCCCCTCGATACTTTCTGTTCCAATGAATGAGATGATTTTTTGTTCCATCTCATTCAGAGGAGTTTCCTCGTTTTCGCCCCCACCGGTCTTTTTGGTACTTCTTTTAAAGGCATTCGCCTTTTGTTTTGTCCTGGTTTTAAGGTCTTTAAATTTCTTTTTTATGTCCTTCGTCGTGCGAACCACTGGTGCCACTGCGTTTACTGCCTCCACTACTTTCTCCCATGCCCTGTCCCGATGGTACTGTGTTAAAGTTGGACCTTGCAAAGGCCCAAACAAAAACTTTCTCCGCGCCTCAATTGCATCCACTAATGCTAGCAGCTCTGTTTTGGTAAAATTTTTACCTCTTGCTTTGATGCTACAATTAGCGATTTTGTGATTAATTTTAATATATGTGGTACCCATTACTTTTTAAAACTTGTCCGTGAAATAAAAGCATAAATTACTTACGATTTATTTGCCATGGTTTAATATTTTTAAATTCGAAATATGTAGCTGACGCTTGCGTACTCCTGCATTGACAGTTAAATTGACATTTGACAGAACAACCACACCCAATCAAAGTAAAATGCTGTGGCTAATGTTCCGCCGTTGCGCCTACATTGCGCGGGTGCAACTTTGTTACTTAGAATTTGGACGCAACTCGAGGCGCAACAAGGGCGCAAATCAGAGGTGCAAAGTTGCGCTGCGCCCATGATTTGCGCCCTGAACTTGGAATTGACCCCTTAGTATGTCGCTAGATTCTCTATATTTTGATGTATCTGTTACGTTTTATTTTAAACGCCAATATAACGTATTAAATGGACATAGACGTTACGTATATATCGCAACATCGTAAACAGCTTTAGAGCTTACAGTAAATTATAATTTTATTCAATGTTTGAAAAAATATAATATGTAATACAAAAATTAATATAAATTCATAATATAAATAAATAAATATATATATATATATATACGTCAATGATAACTTTTGGCCTCGCGCCAGATTTAGGCAACAAGTAATGGGAGAATATGAAAACCACATCCTAGCCTCAAACCTGTCATATCAGTGTTCAAATTTGTATTTATGGTTGCATCATTTACAAACAAGCGAATGCTTGACACGTTTTAAGGAAGGTAAATATTTGGAGTTATAGTTTAAACTGTTTTCGTGTAAAAGAAAGAAAAAGTGGTATGAATCAGTTTATTCAGAAACAATTTTTTGGAATTAAAACAGCCACATAGAGGCTGAAGAAATTAAGATAATCAAAGATAAAAGAAAACAACTTAAAACTAGGAAAGCTTACTTCTTAGTAAGTGCAATTATATTCTATGAACATTTAATACTACTATACAACACCAAAGTAGATTATTCATATTTCTTATGAAGTTAAAGATTGCAATTATTAACAAAGTTGACAACGTATGGATAAAGTTAAATATATATCTTTTAGTCGAAAGAGGTGTCTGCATAATTTGTTACAAGTGTTTGCAGGTATATTTGTACAATGCAACAGCTGCTGCATTCACTATCCAAATGTAATGTATAAATAATGATTTGTCTGGTGTATGGTGCGGTCTTAAAATTAGGTATTTTTATTATATTTCAATTGGATAAATATTTTTACACATATTTGTAAATTCTCGTGCTTTGCCAGTTTTAGACGTAGGAATTTTAATTATTAGCGTATCGTTTTTGTCTTGAATGCCGTCATTCTTTCTCAATTTATCCATTCCACATGCTCCTACAACTTGTAATAAAAAATAAACCTAAAACATAATGATTTATAGACAATGTGATTGACCTTGTTTGAGATCACCTTTAACATCAGGTACATTTAATCATGGGCTTCTGTTAAAAATTTTGGTAAGTCTTCTCTTGTACATATATTTGATTTCTTGACAACGTAACCTATATTTTTGCTTGAAAACTTGATGTACTTAGATATATCTATGCTGTTTTTTATTAACAGAGTTGATTTTAACTACGACTATGCACCCAAAGTGTTAAAGATTTCACAGAATTTGCTTTTCCAGCGAAATACTCGTATGCAATGAGGTGTTCTCCATATATTTCGCATGGTTGTTTCTGTGCCAAAAAAAAATTTTCATACCGCTTTTCATAAACTGTGGCTGAGTTTTTGGGTAATAAATTTGATATATTATCTGCCAGTTTTTGCAAGTTCGGTCGAATGCATGTAAAGTTCTTGTTATTATAGCTATCCATCTCTATTTTGCAATTGCTGCAGATCTTTCTGCAAGCAAAAATATTATTAAAAGTGCCAAAAAATAAGAGGTATGCTTCATACTTTCATTTAAAATGGGCATGTAATCTGTTCTGTAATAATAATAAAAGCTTATTATAGGTTATGTAGATACAAGAAAATTGTTCAAATTCTTCCATTCCGCATACTCCTACAACCAGGTTCGAATAAAAAATATACCTAAAACATTATGTTTTGTAGACAATGTGATTGACTTTCTTTGAGATTACCTTTGACATTAGGTACATTAATCACGGGCCTCTGTTAAAAATTTTCGTAAGTTTTCTCTTGTAACTATATTTGATTTCTGGGAAACATAACCTATATTTTTTGCTTGAGAACTTGGTGTACTTAGATTATATCTATGCTGTTTTATAATAACAGAGTTGACTTTAACAACGACTATGTAGCCCAAAATGTTGATTTCACAGAATTTTCTTTTTCAGCGAAATACTCGTGTGCAATGAGATATTCTCCATATAATGTTTTCCATGGTTGTTTCTGCACCGAACAAAAACTTATTACAGGTTATGTGGATGCGGATACGTGGTAGATACACATTGTTCGCTGCCATAGAATGTCGCTGCACTTCACGAAATCCGCTGTTGCCATGAAAGGTTGCGACGTTGCAAGATTACGCGCAAATTTAGTTAATAAATTATATTTATAAAAATAATAAACTGGATGTGTTTCTAATAACTAATAAAAAAGGTTAACAAAGTGTATAGAATTACTGCTAAACCGAAAAACAATTTATAACCTTGTAAAATGTAATTGTGGAGCTAGATAATATTAATATGACAACACCGCATTTAATTTCTATGCCGATTTTTGAACATAGAAAAAGCACATTACTGCGCGATTTCGAAAAAAGAAACATTACTATTTTATAGCAGCTTTTAACCTCTCTTTTTATATTTCTCCAAGAAAGGCGTACATGTCAATTTTAAAATACCAGTTTAAGTTGGAGTAATAAATTTACTTTTATGTGTGTACAGGCACTTCTACCAGTGATTTCTACAATTAGCAGTACAAGTTTTTGTTAATCTCTTAAATTATTTTTATCACGCTTTTATTAGCTTGGGTTGTATCTATGTATGTATGTAACGGAATCTTTGAGCTTAATTTTCATCGGTTTCTAAAAGTCTGATCATCTTGAAACTTTGCACACGTCTCAAGGATCGATGACAATGCAATAATTTGATAACAGTTTCCCATTATCCTTATTAGGACCGCCAGGATCCTCGATCCTATGGAGACCACTGAGTGGTTCTTTCTAGAAAAATCTAAATAAGTAATTAATTCCCCAATTTATGAATTTGTCGCAGACTAAAAAATGAAAAATAAATAATAGTTTAAAAAACTAAAAAAACACGCTTTTATTGCTAATCGAACTAAAAACTAGAAAATAATTTTTAATGACAGAGTTTAATATTACAGTAGTAGAAGATCAAACAATCAATCATAATAAATCACCTCAAATTAAAATTATAATAAAATTTAAGTTTTTAACAGAATAATTCAATTCAGAGTAAAAAGCGTGGGGTGCATTTTACTGCGGTTCATAACTATCCTCTCATAGATAGTTGCCAATAGAATGATTGTAATATTTAAAATATCAAGCACCCCACGCTTTTTACTCTGAATTGAATTATTCTGTTAAAAACTTAAATTTTATTATAATTTTAATTTGAGGTGATTTATTATGATTGATTGTTTGATCTTCTACTACTGTAATATTAAACTCTGTCATTAAAAATTATTTTCTAGTTTTTAGTTCGATTAGCAATAAAAGCGTGTTTTTTTAGTTTTTTAAACTATTATTTATTCTACTTATGGACCCAATCTGGATATTTGTTTGAGGGTGTGCTTTAAATTTTAGGAATTAATATCTTGGAACGTTATGCATCGTTTCCATACATTTTTGAGCTTCTGTTTTATCTTCTAATCACTTGGAATTTCATTTCCAAAAACAAAAATTGTACTTGAAGTGATAGATATGAAGCTCATTATTCCGAAACATGTAATTATAAGGTCAAATGTTACTGTGCATGAAATGTATTATTTGATATAAAGTAACTTTTGGCATCGCATTCTTTAGATTTTTTTCATGGGTACTTTACAGTTAATAGTATCACCATGAAATTGTTTCTTAGATTTGTTTTTTTCTTCCGGTATTTGAATCACAATTTGATATTCTTAAAACAACGACAATTAATTTAACTTTAGCTTGAGTTGTGAACCTGAAAGTTGTTTTGTATGAATTTGTGTGACAAAAGTGTACTAAAGACGAAAATAATTACTTATACTCTTTTACAATCATTAATTACATTTGTAGCAATTTTTGGCCTCTCGTATTTTATATTATTTTATCCAAGAAACAAGCGAAATTTGAAAAACCAGTTTAATATTTTAATGGAGTAGTAATTATGAACCCAAATGTCGCTATGGATAAAAACTATTATTTGACTTAAATTAACT